CCCGGGAGCCTGTCCATTCAGGGCTTTGTAAGTTAACAATAAAATTTTAAAGTTAATTCTGAAGCGGACAGGGAGCCAATGAAGAGAGGCAAGCACCGATCTTTTAGTACGTGTGAGATGGTGTAGGGCTTTACATGGAATAAATCATGAGTAAAAAAACAAAACAAAATCCCAAACCTCAGACACATTTCTGATTAAACTAAATATTCAAGTAATAAATCAAAGTATGCATGTCTGTCAGGTGATGTAATTACAGTATTTTCTACACTATAAGGCACACTTAAAATCCATTAATTTTCTCAAAAATTGACAGTGCGCCTTATAATCCGGTGTGCCTTATGTATGAATTCTGGTTGTGCTCAGTGTTGCCAACTCCTCAGTAAGAAAAATCGCTATTGGCTGTCCTAAAAGTCGCTAGAAGTCGCTAAATGACGTCATCGCCTAATTTGCATAATTGGTCATGCTAATATAATTGTAACCTACATTGTTGGAGAGAGAAATAACATCGTGGAAGAGACATAAAGTGAGTAAAAAATGTCTTAATTGCATTTAGAGTTTATTTAGAACTACAAATTAAATTTATTTTACCAATTATTGTTTTTTGTAATGTCACAATTCCAACTCTGCTCCTTTATCCGGGCTTGGACCGGCAAAAGTGACCCGAAATAGGCACTCTGGTGGAGTTACTTTGTGTGTGTGTTTATAAGTAGCTTTAAACCTCGTGATCCACAAAACAGCATAAGAGTAAAAGAAGAACTGACTGCGTTACAGTCAGTGCGAGAGCAGCGGCTTCGCTCATGCGCAATTCATTAGCAGTTCCGATGCATAGGTGTGAACATCTTCTGCCCTGATAGCAGCTGGGGGAGGACTATCCTCCGCCCGTGAGCGCTTTGGAACAGGCAAGGTGCCCACGGCAGCACCCGCTGCTTGTTGAGAGTAAAAGCGATACCCGCTTTCACGTCAAAAAGTCGTCATAAATAAGTCTCCAATAACACCAGAAAAAGTCGCCAGATTTGTTGCTAGTCGCTTTTTAGAAAAAAAGTTGCTAAGGGGGTCTGAAAACTCGCTAAATATAGCAACAAAGTCGCTAAGTTGGCAACACTGGTTACTGACCTGCAACCGATTTTATGTGGTACATGACAACAATTTGTCAAAAAATGTTTTAGTACGACTTTGGTAAGCTACAAAGTCACACCGCTTGATGAATTGTCGAAGCATTACGGCTACTGTAGTCAGGAGCCTCGAGGAGTAATCCGTTTCAGGTCCCAAAGTCAAATGAACACTACGGCATCACTGAGAGTTAAAAACTGTCTAAATTATTTCATTTTTTATAAAATGATCAGCGCTGCTGTTTTACTAGATGTAACAATTACGTTTAACATCTAGGAATCCATGAAAACAGAATTTATTAAATTTAACAGAGTTATAAGTTAGCTCGCTAGTTTCCACCTAAACATGATATAGCATCAGTTCTGACTGAGGGATTTTGAAAAAATCAAAACGTACAGCTCTGCTATCACTTCCAACATAAATGAAGACAGAAAACTAAACACCTGTGACTTTTGTAGGGTTACCGAAGTTGGACTAGCTGGTATATAATGATGTGCTACGTGATCACTAGCAACACAGCTATGTTAGCATAACATAAACACAGTGAAGCTGGCGAATGAATGCTAACTTTTTTCCACTTGTTAACGGGAGGGTTCCCAATGATTAGGGACAAAGGCGATCACAATGCAGGGTGCTCTAAACGGACCAAACCTCAGTCAGGAGAACAACTGAAATAATCCATTCACAATACGAGGTTAGTTATAATATACTGCAACAATATGGGAATAAAGCAGCTGCAAGATAATTCAACATTAATAAATCAAGGGTACGGAAGTGGAGGAAGCAAGAAGAATGAGTTGAGTAAAGTTTAACTTATCTGACTATTTTGTTTCTCTTAATGCGCCTTTTAAATCCTGTGCACCTTATGGTCCGAAAAATACGGTATTTTCCAGATTAATTTAGAATCCCTTTTCGAGCTTAACCTGAGTACCCTTTAATGTAATAGAAATTAAGTAACTCTGTCACTACTGGCAGTTTTAAAAAAAATTATACAAAACAGAAAAATACAAAGAGATGTTCTAAATATTTCATACAAAACCATTCATGCAACTATTCAAACTTTCATACAAAACTTTTTCCTCTTCCCTGTGGCTTGCTCCTTAGGTTTTTTTTTTATTTCCGGTTTTGAGTTGTAAAATTTTCATGCTCTTCTGTCACTGCATTTCAGGATGATCTACCACAGGTTATTCCTTATGTAGACAAATGTGGGCATGGCAGTGTTCAGATAGCACAGATATACAGATTTAGAATTACTGATTCAATAACGTATTCTCTGTGGTAAAAATAACACTGGCCCATATGCATACCTCATAAATAGTCTTGCAACTGCATTTCTTAAGTGCGTGTGTGTTCTTAAGACTATTTTTACACACATTTTCCATGTAAATTTTCCATGTGTAGTCTACAGTTTACAGATGTTTGTCTAAATCCATCCATCCATTTTCTACCAGTCGCCCTGGTCTGGGTTAAATGACACCAGCTTAAGCCAAGATGCACCGACATCTCTTGTCCCTGGCCTCCACCTCCAAGACACTCCCAAGCCAGTCAGGTGTGATTCCAGGTTGATGACTGAGTTTTGTAATCTTGCAGTCAGATCTGCAGATGTACATTGTGGACATTCGGCTGTGTGCAGCTATGAATAAATCACAACCTGCTGGTGAGTTGGATCAGGTAACGGGAAAGATGCTGGTCGTGGTGAGAGTATGTTGCAGAGATCCTGGACCTGTATACGTACAGATGCCTATTCTGCAAGAAACTGCAGAAAATGGAATTTATTCTTTAGAGAATTACTATTAATCACCTACAGCTGATACTGCAGAGGATGTTTTCACAATCTTCCCGCCAAAAGGATCCGTCAATGCCAGCCAAAATTTAAAGTCTGCTTCATGAATGTATCACAAAATGCTTTGCTAGCACACGTAATAAACTCAGTTGATATTACAATCCCAAGAGCCATGTTGCTAGTGTGGCTGAAGTGATTACAGAGGGATAAAAGGCTTGACAGGAGATCTGTTAGTTACAAAGCTTAAATATATATATATTATGTTAACAGGACAGTTTCTGTTGATTTTGTTCTCCTTCATCTGTAACTTTCACTTCTATAGTTTAAATATGGGCTAGTGTTTTCGGTGTGATTCTTGTTCTGGCTTTGCTAGTCTGGGTCAGATGGTGTTTAAAGTCTATAAAGATTATGGTCAATAAATCCAAAGTCTTCCAGCTGCTTTCGCTTGGTGAAAATCTTTTAAAAAACATGTTTATATTGGCAGCCAACAATGACTAAAGATGTTAGTTGAGTGCTGCAGTAAATACCTGAATCTTGCCTCAAATTCCCTCCACAGGCTCTACAGTCCAGCATGCCTCTTTAAGTAGGATCTCAACCAAACTCAGGGCCTTTACATTCATTTCTTTTTCTTCTGTGCAAATAAACAGTACAGGCTGTTCGTGTTTGCTTTGGTAGAGGAACACACAGACTGAATCTTACAGGATTCACAGGATGTTTTCCTGCCAGAATTTCTGCTCTTTCCTGCCCAGTTCTTCAGTCTGTTCCTGTGTTTACCCACTTGTGCAATTTCTGCTCCTTCTTGACTCTCAAAGACGAAAATGTGTGCAGTTTGGTGGTCATATTGTATTTGCCTTGTCCAGTCTTTAGCTGGACTTCAGGCATGTTCTGAGCATACAGGCAGGCCACCTCCATTGTTTTCACTGTAAACTAGACCGCTGCAGCATCAAGAGAGGAATAGTGATGAATGACACTCCTTTCCCAAAAAAGAACAGATGGATCAATACAGAGAAACAGTGTTGGCTCAAAAGCTGCCTCAAAGTCAAATTGTCCTGACTCAAACAACTGTCACACAACAGCAGTGTGGCTTTCACCTCTCAGCCCTCTGAGCTCAAAGTCTTCAAAGGTGATAATTCAACTTGAGCCTTTTTTGCAGAAAGGCAATATGGACATTTTGGAAAAAAATGTAAATAATTTTGAGTCATTGAGAAAAATTATTTCATTTGATTTCTGTTTGACAAGAATTGATAAAAATAAAAAACAAACAACAAAAAAAAACCTATTGCATATTCTCTGAGGTGCTGAGGTTAGACCTAGGCTAGGTTTGGAGTTAAAATTGGGGATTGAGGTCATCCAAACACCAACTCAGGATTAAACCAGCAGTTCTGTTTTACCATACATGGGTAAAACCCAAATAACTAATAAAAGGTAACATCTTAGTTTGGTGTCTAATCATTCAATAATTTATAATTTAGCATAGAAGCTAATGGGCAGCTGAGTCTGATGGGAAATTATTTGATTGTAAGTGAAACTGTTGCTATCAAAATTTTTGTTTTTCCAAGACATTGCTTGATGAAAAGTCATAAAAATGCATTTTCTGTAAGAGTTTGTGTCATGCGAAGCAGTTTGACCATGTGTGAGAGTTTGCTAAAAACAAGGTCTCAATTTCATGATGTAGGATTAAACATCAGGGGATCAACAGTGTGGTTATAGTCTTTGCTACGGCCCCTCGTCTTTTAAGTGAGCCGGCCTTCCTTCAAGTAAATTCAAGCATGACAACACCCACAGACGATTGGCTGGCTGGGAACCCGTGCCAGCCTTCTATGAAATCAGAACGATGCCACCTTGAAACGAAACCGAAAAATGGATTGAAACCGAAAAAAAATATTGTAACTGAAATAAATGTACTGAAAAATCTTGTATTGAAACCGAAAAAAAAATTGATAGTGAAAAACAATTAATTGAAACTGTAATTTTTTTGTTTTCGCTTACAATTTTTTTTTTTTCGGTTTCAAACCATTTTTCAGTTTCAAACCATTTTTCGGTTTCAATCCATTTTTCGGTTTCAAACCATTTTTCAGTTTCAATTTGCTGGCACTGTTTTGGCGTCCGAGGGCGCGCTGGGGGGGGGGTTTCCGGCCCGCATGTATTTGCATATATTATAGAGGCCACTAGTGCTGACCAAGCTGCCATCTTTCTCTCTTCCCGTCTTTCAATGGCTGCTTCAATTTCAGCTTGAACCTCCAAACCGCAAGTAAGTAATCATTTTTTGTCATCTTTTCTTGCTGTCCCACTGGGCTGGACATTAGTTTAGTTTTTTTAGCTACATCTGGTGAAGTTGTGGTAAAATGCTGGTATTAGCCTATTCGTCGTAACAAGCTAGCCTGAAGCTAATATTTGCTAAATTTAGGGACACCCGTGTCTCTTCAGGAGTTGGAGGCCGGTGTTCTAGGAGCGGATCTCAGGATCTCAACAGGCAGTGTTGGGCAGTAACATAATACATGCACCGGCGTTACGTATTTAAAATACAAAATATGAGTAAATGTATCCGTTACAACTTATTGAACTTACTGTTCAATAGGTCATATTGAGAATACAGTTAGTTTGTTGAAATAAATGGATTACATGGCGGTATTTACCTGTTTCATATGTTAGGCTATGGTCTCTCTATTTTTTGGTAATTCCACGCCGGTGGAAACCCAAACAAAACACGCAATAAGAGCCTCTAAAAATTATTATACAAAAATGATTTAATATGAAGGCAATAGCAGAGTGTTACAGGCATCGCCCTAAACAATCTAGCCTCATGGGCAGTGTAGTCCGTGCTGCAGGGAGAATGGACTGCCATACCCGTTATGTGTCTGTGAGCGAGGAGGGAGAAAAAGGAAAAGTACAGCTGTCACGGAGCAACAACGGGAGCTGGAAGCATGTAAATATAATAATAACCACTAAAGCCAAAAAGAGTGCCTGACGAGCCCAGCTGTAAGTAAGCTTTTAAGACTCGACTGTACACTGTGTTCGTGTTTTCCTCCGAAACAATAAGCAGCCTTTCAACGCCTCTCTCTGTCTCTCGCTAGCAAACTTGACCCAGACAACAAAGTAAAGCTAGTTTTCAGCTATGAGCCCGACACGAACCGGACGTATTAGCCAGAGGTCCCTTTACTACGGTTCGGAGCCGCTGACCTGTTTTATATACGCGCTGAATAGTTTTCTACACGAGATCGCAATGCAGCCTTACCTAATGTCCACCTACTGTTACTCATTTATATTAAGATTTTAACATCTAGTTGGTGTTGGTATGGCGAGTAGCCTTCAGTAATAGTAATAAATCACACAGCAATAGTCACATTCATGTAGTTGTAAAGTATTCAGAATACATTACTTCTATAATCTTTGGTGGAATACATTTTAAAATTAACCTTCCCAACACTGTCAACAGGTTAGCACCTCATACCACAGTGCATCAAAGCAGTCTCATGAGCGCTGGGAAGGACGAGCCCAGAGCCCAAAACAGACAGTGCAGGAGATGACAAGGTTAGTAATTGTATGGTGAAAATTATACTTTGTTATCTTGATTGGCAAAAGAAAAGTAAATACAAAATCTGCTTCTCACATATAGGGCATTTCCAAAACTTCAATTTCTTTCATTACAGCTGTCCTGTGCCAGAAGTTCTGTTGACCCACAGTGAGAGGCATCATTTCAGAAACACCAGGAAGACTGAAACTCGTCGCCGGGATCAAGCAGGGCTCGTGATCTTCACCAGCAGCTCCCTCACAAGAAGGATAAACCCAGCATTTCATGAACACTGATGGAGACCTTTGCTTTGTGTAATGTTAGAAGTACTCAGATAATCCTCAGGACAGAAAACATGCTGCTGTTTGCACATATTTAATAATCAGCTCTGCACAGGAGCAGAAGCAGAGTCCAGCCTGTTGCTCTTACAGTATAATACTCATAATAAAAGTACAGTAACCGTGGTTAGTCACTGAGCAGCCCGGTGCGTTTCTCTTGATTTCTTTAGTCAGGGTAAATTCATTCACCTGCACGGGGTAGCTAAACGAACTTTACAAAACATGTTTCCCCGACAGCCGAGTGCTCATTTTAGCTAGCTAGGTCCTTAGGTAGCTAGCTAAGGACCTAAATTACGGATTAGCTTACAAACACATTTAACTTACCAAAAATAATGCGGTGGGGCCTCAGGTCCTCCTGTCCGGTAGTCCAATTTACTGAAGAACACCTCAGGCTGTCACTTTGAAATAGTCGGTAATGTAAACGCTGGACCTCTCGGCATCTGCCATTCCCGAACAGACACGTGCGAGTTTGTCCGTGACCGCAGCCGCGTCGTCAGTGTTTTCTCCAGTCATTGGTCAGCATTATAATATATGCAAATACATGCGGGTCGGAATCCCCGCCCCCCAGCGCGCCCCCGTACGCCAAAACAGTGCCAGCAGAGTGAAACTGAAAAATGGTTTGAAACCGAAAAGTAAACCAAAAATGGATTGAAACCGAAAAAAAAAATTGTAAGCGAAAACAAAAAAATTACAGTTTCAATTAATTGTTTTTCACTATCAATTTTTTTTTCGGTTTCAATACAAGATTTTTCAGTACATTTATTTCAGTTACAATATTTTTTTTCGGTTTCAATCCATTTTTCAGTTTCGTTTCAAGGTGGCATCGTTCTGATTCCATACCATAGCCTTCCTCCATGTAAATTCGAATGTGACAATCCACACAGACAATTGGCTGCCTGAGGACCTGTGGTTTGCACCTCCAGGGAGAGAGACCAATCAGTGACTTGTACACACCTGTGTCTTCAAAAGGCTGAAGAACTTTCAGGGGCTGCTGCTTTGAACTGAGTATGCAGACTGCCCTGTAGGCTTCCTTCTCTGAGCTTTGCTTGTGAAATTCTGTTTAAGTGGTGAGATTTGGCTTGAGTGGCGTTTAGCTGCGTTACAGCCCATGAGGACAGTTTTATTTTCTACTGGTTAAGCCTTACTTGAGCTAGTTGTTTTGTGTTGGTTGTTTGGTTTGTGGTAATCTGCGCTATAGGTTTTCTTGTAAGTCCTGAGTTCTCTTGTAATAAACCTTTTTCTAAACTAATCTCCCTCATGTGGGTCTCGTTTATGTTACCTCCCCTATCAGAGACGGATTATAACAGTCTTCCAGAGATAACTTAGTACAATTTCATTTGATGTAATCCAATAGATTGGTCCAGACTTCATGTCCATGATGTGGTGGCCCACACAAACCACCTATTTGGCTAATAAAACTGGGCATGGATATCGTCACTGTGATGTATTGGCACTGGAGTCAGCATTTTTACATGGGAAAGTGGCATGTTTAGTTAACAGTTGTTTAGCAAGCTGCATTCATAAATTCTAAGCAGATCACACAGACGCACATATCTGCTAATTTGTGCTAAATAACATGCAAATTAAATACTCGATGTTCACTTAGCACTATGGGAACAGACTTTTTAGAGAGACTGTGAGTACAATTAACTGCAATAAGATAATTTCATTAAAATCTTCCAAAAGGTTCAAACACCATAAACATGGACATGAGTTCAGTTTGGTTAAGAGAAGTGAAACACTGATGGCAGCAAATGGCTCCAGCTGTGCTGATGAACCTGGTGAGACCAAGGATGTTGTTGTTTCAGCATTTACAACTAATATATAACAAAATATTTCTGAGCTAGAATTTTAAGATATCCTCCACAAGTAGCAGTCTCTTTAACCTGTTCAACAACATCCCTGAATTAATAAATGCATGTCAATCACAGGGAATTTAATCTCCTTCCACAAAATGTACATCTTAATTATTATTATTATTATTATTATTGTGCCCTGACCAACACGTCAGTGTCTTCCTCACCTCTGTCTTTTTTAATCACCTCAGCTGCACGAGGCTAAAAGAAGCTCAGTATCATTTGGTTTATTTAGCCCTCACAGTGGTAATGTTTTTCTCACCCACTGCCTCGGCACACTGGAAAAAAAGAGAGTAGGACAGGGAAAATGTATTTAGCTGCCATCATGGGGATAGTTTCAGCACTTTTTAAAAGGTGTTACAACCATCTGCACCCCGTCAGCTATAATTTGCATAGCTGCAGCATGGTCGTTTGAAATTAGCTAAGATAATATGTCTTACATTTTACCTAAGGCACTACTCTATGAAAAATAAAGGTAACATAGTTCTGAATCCATCAGTACTGATCAAAATATTTTCAGTGCGCTACAAGCTGAACTAGGAGGATAGAAACAAATTATCAGTCCTATTGTCCTGGTATCAGTCCAGTACCAATACCAGCATTGGTGTCGATGCTGTTGATATTTGGATTGATCAGCCCACTTGATTTTCCTCACACAGTTTGGCAGTGTGAGGAAGTGAGAGTGTTACAACTATCCTCATTCTCTAAATCTAAAGTAGCCACCTGACTCACTTTTGGAGCAGCCTCCAGTGGCAATTGGAGGAACTGCAGTATATGGCACATCTGCATTGGCTTCATTTTTAAATCTTGGATGTTCCTGCTCGGAATGAACTAATGTTCATCGAGTAGATGTTGATTATTAATTTTAGGCCAACGCAACAACCGAAAATGTGAAAAAATATTTGCAGCTGTGTGTATGACTTTGCCTGGAAAATTTTCTTGTAGTTTCAGTAGAAGGCAGCTTAGTACTTTTTTTTTACCGGCCTTTGTTGGTATTTGTGCAGGTCTACAGCAGCTCGTGTGCGACACAAACACTGTGACACCACGTAGCAGCAGATCTGCAGCGTTACCACTGAACAGGTTTCAACGTGTTTTCACAGCTTTCTGAAAGCAGAATTTATTAGAGTGGAAGTGAAGCTCAGAGAGGAGAGACAGCAGAGGTACTGGGACAGTGTGTGTGTGTGTGAGTGATAAGCCAGCAGTGATACAGCAGTATTACATCATAGTGAGTTTGTGTGTCTTCATGGGGAAAATAACACGTGTATTTTAACTTGTGTGTACATCTACCTGCCGCTACTTCTGCTGCTGTGTGTGTGTGTGTGTGTGTGTGTGTGTGTGTGTGCTGTATTTGATAGCCAGTCTCTATTGTCCTTCATCTGACAGTGAGCTGGTTTCTCCCTGACAGTGAAACCATTCAGCACACACACACACACACACACACGCATTTAATTTGTCCTTTATTTTCATTCACACGCGCTGATTCACGTGTATTGATCAGTGAGATCACTGCTGCCTGTCGCTATGGTAACCCCTATCTGTCAGCTGACATTGTTTGTGTATAATTAGTCTGGAGGATCAGTCTGATTAACTGCTCCATCCATCACAAAAACACAGAGAGGAGAGCTGGCAGCTTGTTTTAAGGGCACGTTTCAATCTTTTCGTGTCTCTCTGGCAGGTTTCTGCAGTTTCAGTCAGCTTCTTATGGTCGAAGTCAGAAAACTGTGAGAAATAAAACGCCTCTAAGCAAAAGCTCCAAGTGAGTTAATGTAGTTAATACAGTTTAATATTCAGGCCACAGAAATGTTACTTGTCACCACTTTTAACTCAAAACTAATTAATTCCACACATGTTATGATCAAATTATCACATCTGTCCACCTGAAAAGTCCTAAAACCAGAAATAGCAACACCACAGACGTGTGATTGTGTCAGTGTTTCACCGCTAAGCTCCATGAAACACATTAAACTCTACCCACCGTGCTCCCTCTGTGGCTTCATCAGCTCATAAAGCTTTACACGTTAAGAAGAATAACATTTTACTTACTTGAACTGTCTGAGGTCAGAGCACCTCCCATCATCTTAAAGACATTATTTAACGGTTTGTTTCTCTTAGGAGTGATGCCCAGCTTTACAAGCTGGAGATTTATAGCACTCTCCTGAAGGCATCATCACAGTCTCATTATGGAGACGTGAGGATTATCTACAATTACATATGGATTTTGTGAGTGTGGCTTTTTTTTTTGTAGAACTGTCGATCTATGGATGTTTTTTTTCTCTCAAAAATTAACATTTTATAATTCTTTGAAGTCTTTCCATGTGTTTTTGACATGAGGATGGAAATCAAGAAAATAATAATATTAATGGATCTCATTTTATATAGCGCTTTTCGGGGCCCTCAAAGCACTGTACAATTCCACTATTCATTCACTCTCACATTCACACACTGGTGGAGGCAAGCTACAGTTGTAGCCACAGCTGCAGATGGGCAGACTGACAGAAGTGAGGCTGCCATATCACGCCATCGGCCCCTCTGGCCAACACCAGTAGGTGGTAGGTGAAGTGTCTTGCCCAAGGACACAGCGACCGAGACTGTCCGAGCCGGGGCTCGAACCGGCAACCTTCCAGTTGCAAGACGAACTGCCAACTCTTTGAGCCACGATCAAAGTTATTCATATAACTTATATATGTAAGTAACATAAATAAAAAGGCTAAAATATCTTACCACCATGCTTTATTTGTAATCACAGACCGTAAGAGACGAGTTGAAGGTACTGAAGTCCCATGTCAACATTACAGTCTGTGCTGAAGGTTAATCCATAAATTACAGTAGTTGTTAATTCTTGATCAACAAATCCATCAAGTATTTGTAGAGAATGTGATTATTCAGTGATACCAAGACGTGATACCATCCGCAAAGTTCACAAGGTAACTGCAGAACTCGACAAACATAACTGATCTGAAGTCTGCTGGCAGAGAAGTAGCTTTATCTCTGTGGAAGTCATACAGTTGGTTGTTGGTTGGTTTGAAGCCCAGTCCTGACTTTGTCCTCTTTCTTTCAGACACAGTGCAATTTGATGTTGCATTTATCAAATTGGAAATTGGTATAGTACATCAAAAGCAGAACAAAGGTTCATTTCCTGCAGTGGAAAGTGCCGTCTGCTTCAGATCTCTGTTTGGTTTTGAATATGAGAAAAAGGGCACTGCGTGGCTTTGTTGGCTTTGTGGGCTGTAAGCTGTTTGAATATGCCCTACATGCTTGTTGCTAACTTTGTCAAGAATGGTCTGTGAGTCAGAAATGAACATGTAGAGTTTAAGGAGTTTTAAACAAAGAATGATTGAAAAAATAAAATTAAACGGCCATGTATTTTATTGCCTAGACGGTTCAATTCGATCAGAGGGTTCATTCGGAGGGAAAGGAACCTTAAAGAGACAGAATCTTCTTTGCATGATGGAGCTTTTACCTGCGTCAGTGCATGGGACGGTGAGTTGTGTTGACAGACAGTGATTTCTGGAAGTGCTCCTGAACCCATGCATCGATTTCCATGACAGAATCATCTCTGTTTTTAATGCAGTGTCGCCCAAGGGACCACACATTTTCAGCCTTTTCTCTTGCACACAGAGATTTCTCCACCTGCACCTGTCACAGACAAAAACAGACTTTAGACTCACCACCGATGAGACTGAGCCTCATAAATCAGTGTTTTGTGTAATAAAGTGATGGTGGCTGCTGCAAACAGAGCTTGGCTGTTTCCGTATGAAAGCTGCATCAGGAGATTA